GCACTACAAGTGCATGGAGCATGCATAGGGCTATCAAACCAAACCTTAACAGAGGTATATGATGGAAAAACAACACCAAGAACATGCTGAGATGGACTCAAAACAAGCTAGAATGACATGCTATTTCATGAAGCATACAAAGCTAGTTTATGAGGATTGTACTACAAGTGTATTATGCGTGCAAGGGATGACAAAACCAAGTCAAAATAGTGATATGCCATGCTGAAATAAGGCCTAAAATAGGCTGAGATGTGGCCAACACAAGCTTAACAAACATGCTCAAACATGAGGCAAATGAAGCAAGCATTCAAGAACACAAGGAGAGGGGATGACCCTCTCCTATTTGGGACCTCAAAACCACCTTTCCACCACTGAAAATCCTCTGGATTTCAGTGGTAAGAAGGCCAAAAAGAAGTGGTCCCAATAGCTTAAAAGGAAGGTTCAAAACAAGGCCTAACAAGGCACAAGAGGGGGTAGACTACCCCCAACACAAAAGAGACCTTAAACAAACATGCTCAGGACTAAAAATCATAACTTTTTTTAGTAGAAAGTCAAGCCTAAATAAGCATGCAAATAGGTCCAAAAGCTTAATAAAAAACAAGGTTTAAAAGGCTAGTTGACTCACCCTTGAAGAATTACTTTGAAGCTACAACTCCAGCACTCTTTTTGAACCAAAACCAATCCAAAGACTCCAAAACCAACCTCAAAGAGCCTCAGCAACAAGAGTATGGTGTTTGAGTATGTGTTTGTGTGCAATAGTATGGAAAAACTACACTTTCAAGCACAAAACAAGAGCAAAGAAGGAGATATAGAGACAAGTGTGTATCTATAGCTCAATGCCAAAATTCTGAACCTAAGGCATGAGGGAGCAGACTCCCTCTTACTGAAAACAAGCAACAAGCTTGTTGGACAAGCTTTTGGCCTAAAGCCATCCCTCCATACACGTGTATGGAAGATGGTTTTTGTGCCCTCCAGCTGTAACAGCTGGCCTAAAAATATCTCCAAAAAGGTGATGGAAAGTTGCTGACCACTTGAAGTGGTCGGCCAACTACTTGTAGTGGTTGCCAACTACCACAAGTTCTCTCCTAAAAAGCAAATTGGTCGGGTAGGGGTCGGAGAGGTCTACACGCCGAAAGCAAGTCAATGGTGTGGTTGCCGACCAGAAAAGGTGGCCTAAAGACCAAGAAAACCAGTTGCCCGACCAGAAAACTGGCTGGCAGGAAGGAAAGTGGTCTCCAAGGGGAAGAACTGGTCTCCCACACTTGTACCACCTTCCAAACAAGGAAAACAAGATTTGTACAAAAAACAAACCAAAAAGGATGCAAGACGAAAGTTCGGGAGGCAAGGTGCGCAGCTGGGAGCCTCGAAAACTAGTCTATGAGGATCAAAAGTGGTTGACGACCACAAAAGTGGTCTCCCAGACCACAGTAGCCCTCTAGGGCAAGGCAACAAGGTGTGGTTCAAAAACTACGCCAAACGGAGAATGTTAAGTGGTTTTGAGACAAGGCGCGCGGCCGAAGGCTCCAAAAATCGGAAACTAGTCTCCCAGCGAGAAAAGTGGTCTACGACCACAAAAAGGTGGTCTACAAGACCTCTCCCTCCCTCTAGGGAAGGGAAACAAGGCTTGGTCCACAAACTGAGCCAAAACACAAAGAGTTCAGAGGCCCGGAGGCAAGGCACTCAGCCGAAAACTCCGAAAACTCGAAACGAGCACAACATGCACTATCACCGAGCACTCAATCGATGACGTCTGAGTCTTAAGGTCGGTCAAAAATGGGGTGGCTACAGTTGCCCCTCTTTGACAGAACTCAGAAGTCATAAGTGACGGGAGTGAATGTCAAAGTCCAGAGACGACCCATTTTTGACAAGGTCGAAGACTTAGACAAACAGGCAAGATAACAAAGAGATGCGCCTACAGGCGGGGGCAAGATGCAAAAGACATGCACAAAGCCGAACATAACTTATGGTCATACAAAGAAAGCTGTAATGAAGTAAATATGCAAAATAAATGCAACAATTTAAGCAAGTGAATGAGTACGAACCAAACTACATCTCATGCAGAAAGGATGTAAGAAAATTATACAATTCTCACTGCGTCTCACGCGGAGAAGGACGAGAAGTTCAAATGAACCGTACATACAATACCGTTTGGTCGCACTAGCCTCAAATGAATTGTACATACAATATCGTTTGGTTGCACCAGCCTCAAATGAACCGTACATACAATATCGTCTGGTCGTACCAGCCTCAAATGAACCGTACATACAATATCGTGCCTGCATAAGAAAGAAACTTAACAGGTACAATATAGTTAGAAACACATGCCCCACGTTACAACATGGTACAATTCCAATGCGAGATAAACGCATGCACATATGATGCTGATGGAAACATGCATAGCAATGCAAGTGAAAAGTGCGTAACAATGCAACCGGAACGAGCATAACAATGCAGGTGGAGTGTGCATAACAATGCGGGCGAAACATGCTTGACAATGCAAGTGAAGAAGGCATGACAATGCAACCTAAGTATGCGCGACAACGCGGGTGAAGGGGTGCATGACAATGCAACCTAAGTGTGCGCATAACAATGCAGATGGAGGGGTGCATGACAATGCAACCTAAGTGTGCGCATAACAATGCGGATGAAAGGGTACATGACAATGCAACCTAAGTGTGCGCATAACAATGCGGATGGAGTGTGACTTAAATAGCATGTTTGAAGCAAAATACTGAAAAAAAGGAGATACAAGCCATAACGAGGCGAATTAAACCGTAACCTCTGATTTACCTCTCGGAAGAGTCACAACATACTTAAAAAGGATACACCTTGCTCTTGACGAGTGACAATGAGCTACGCATCGAAGACTTGAATTGAAGTTCCCTCAGGGACATTTTTGAACCGAAAAGTATACTTTTCTTGTACTTTTTCGAGAGCCGAGGACTCCAATCATCACCAAAACACACAGGGAGAACAATGGAGCTCTGAAGATCATCCAAGAGGGTGGCCGACCACCTACATCAGTGGTCGACCAGTTGTTGACCACATAAGTGGTCGGCCGACCAGAAAAACTAGCTGGCCGACCAGTTTTGCAAAACAGGGACATATTGGTCTTTTCAAGGACGGATCTTTAAGTATACACATCCAAATCACTTTTGCTCATAAACACAAGGCCGAAACACATTCTCCTTTGCTTCTAGACCCTTTTCTCTCTCAGATATGTACTTTATACTCGTTTTCTAACCCCTCACGCGAAGTTGTTTTGCGAAAACTTTCGATTCTCTTCATTTTGAACCGATTAGAATTTGTTTTCGAAGATTCTTTCTCCATTTTCATCACTTGAGGTATGTTTGTCTCGAATTTTAGCACCTTTTCTCGGGCGTTGACTTTTTCTCTTCTCGAGAGTTGACTTTTGTTGACTCTTTACAATTTTGGCTCATTTCGCTCATTTTTGCATCTTTTTGTAGATTTTTTCAAATGGCCGATGATATTCCATACGGTGGAGGCTCCCCTAGAGTAGAGGATGAGCCCGACATTATACCATTGCCTCCGAGGATGTGGCCGTTTGACCCGGAGAGGTACCACTCGCAGGAGCACATCCTACCTCCTAGCACCTTTCACCATTTTACGGACTTCGCGCCCCGAGCACCCGCAGACTTGCTACTACGGGAGCCTGAGTCCCACCTATCTCATCATGCGCGAGAGGTGCGTACTTCATTTTTGCATTTTCTGCGATGCATTTTGCATTTCTTGCACATTTCATGCTTTCGCTATGTATTTCATCTTCTCGTTCTGAACACATTTACATACACAGTACTTCTACTCATTCTTGAGCATAACTTACACATAGCATTCCGTTCATTTGGGCACATAGCTCATTTTGGGCACGCAACACATTTTGGACACACAACACATTTGGGCATACAACATATTTTGGACACACAACTCATTCTGGGCACACAGCACATTTTGGGCACACAGCTTATTTGGGCACACAACTCATTTGGCACACAGCTCATAATACTGCTCAATCTGAACACACGGTTCATAATGTAGTATTTTGCTCAATCTGAACACGCAGTTCATAACCCAGTATTTTGCTCAATTTGAACACACAGTTCATAATGCAGTATTTGCTCAATCTGAACACACAGTTCATAATGAAGTATTTTGCTCAATTTGAACACACAGTTCATAACGCAATATTTGCTCAATCTGAACACACAGTTCATAACGCAGTATTTTGCTCAATCTGAACACAGTTCATAACGCAGTATTTGCACAATCTGAACACACAGTTCATAACGCAGTATTTTGCTCAATCTGAACACCCAGTTTATAACGCAGCATTTGCTCAATCTAAACACACAGTTCATAACGCAGTATTTGTTCAATCTGAGCACAGTTCATAACGCAGTATTCTTTTAATTTTGAACACACAACTCATAACATAACACTGCTCAATCTGAACACATAGCTCATAACACAGTATTCTTTTAATTCTGAACACACAACTCGTAACATAACACTGCTCAATCTGAACACACGGCTCATAACACAGCATTCTTTTAATTGCACACGTCTCATAACACTGCCCAATCTGAACACACAGTTCATAACACAACATTCTATTTATTTGCACACGGCTCATAACACTGCTCAATCTGAACACACAGTTCATAACACATCATTCTGTTTATTTGCACACGACTCATAACACTGCTCAATCTGAACACACAGTTCATAACACAACATTCTGTTCATTTGCACACGGCTCATAACACTGCTCAATCTGAACACACAGTTCATAACACAGCATTCTGTTTATTTGGACACGGCTCATAACACTGCTCCATCTGAACACACAGTTCATAACACAGCATTCTGTTTATTTGCACACGGCTCATAACACTGCTCAATCTGAATACACAGTTCATAACACAACATTCTGTTTATTTGAAATAGATTACATTTGTTCATTCTAAATGCAGGTATCTTCCCGTTTCGCACGGGGTTACAGATCAATTATTGCGAGGGAGTGGTACATGGAGCTCCCAGATGCCGTTCGACATATTGTAGATGAGGCCGGGTTTGGTCCGTTTTGTATGGAGTTGTCGCGTCATCCGACGAGAAGGACCCTTCTGGGCGCACTTGTGGAGAGATGGTGGGACACCACCAACTCCTTCCATTTTTCTGCCACCGGGGACATGACGATGACCCCGTATGACTTTTCCATACTGACGGGCCTCGATGTGGCAGGCCGGCCGATCCCATACGATACTGATATGGGGGAGTGGGAGGCAGCTTGGACTTATCTACTCGAAGCCCATTCGCCGCCTTGCAGATCACCGGGCATGGTTAGGTACACCTGGTTTGCGGAGCAGTATAGATGGACTACGCCCGAGACTATTGAGGCCATACAGCAGTATGCTCGGGGATTTTTGATGTTCCTCCTCGGGACCACTCTTTTCTCCGATAGGGGGAGCACAGTCGGGCTTTATCTTCTCAGTGCTCTGGTAGACCTATCACAGGTCTGGCATTTTGATTGGGACGGCGCTGGCCTCGCTACCCTTTATTGCTACATGAGTGCGACCTCCCGAGAGCGGGGGACCATAGTAGGTGGCTACTGGCGAGCCTGGGAGGTACATTCGGCCCTCTTGATTTACATTTCTGCTTTTCATTATCTGTATACCACACACTGCACACATTGCACACTTTACATTCCGTGCTCTGCATTCTGTACTCAGCATTTTGCATTTTCTATACATTCTGTATTCGCATTCTACACTCAACACTCTGCATTTTCTATACATTCTGTATTCTTATTACCACTGTCTTGCCTTTCATAGCTGTGGGTTTATGCCTACTTCTCGACGCTCGCTCCCGAGCTGGAGGTCGAGGCACCGCTTGAGATACCGTACTCGCGCCGATTCGAGGGTCGGTGTCTGTCCAGGCCTCAGGAGACATTGCTATATCTCCAGTAGTATTTCGACATGGTGTGGGCAGACGAGGTAATCCAGAACTTCCAGTTCTTTATGCTCTCAGCTTTGATTCATCTTGCATACTTATGACATCTAATCAATTTATGCACTTGCCATTCACAGATCACTTGGCAGCCTTGGCTGGCGATGCCCGGGTATTCCCGGTTCCAGTTCGCCGGGGCATGGGGCGCCTCACGATATAGGGTTTTGTTTGAGGGACCAGTCGGCAGAGCCTGGTTTCTCGGGGATCACTTCATGCGCCAGACGATGGGCAATCCCACTCAGGAGATCCCCTCAGCACCTCCACTCGACATGCGGTCCACAGAGAGCCTCACTCCCCGGGAGGTTAACGACCTTATGTTGGGTGTCGACGCAGATCTTTTCCTGGAGGAGGGGGAGTACGCGATATACCGCCATACATACTTGATGCCTCCACTGATAGGTGTCCGTACTCCTACGAGGAAGGCTGCTGATATGCCATCGTCGAATCGCGCTCGAGCTACAGACATCCCTTCCACTAGCAGGGCTAGCAAATCGAGGGGTAGGGCTAGAGGGATGCCCTCGACTTGCCAGTATGCTGGGTGGCCAGTTCTTCCGACCGAGCTGATGGGCTGGCAGTATGGGTCATCTTACCCGATTCCACTAGAGCCTCCATTGCCCGATCATCGATACGTCAGTGACCCTGACTCACCACCGGTATGCTCTACAGTTTTCATTTATCACTCAGATATTTACACATCATTCATTCACTCACCGATGACTTGAACTTGCATTTGCAGCCTCCCAGAGAGTATACTGAGGGGTTGCTCGAAGTGGTGGCCTCACTCGAGAGCATGGTCCTGCGGAGGGAGACGCTGCTGTACGCCTCCGGCATTTCGGTACTTTTCAATTTCCTTGCATTTATCATACTTCTGATGACATATGGAAACTGAACATTTCACTATATTGATTCACTGCATGTGTAGAGCACATCTGACAGATCACATTCACATACTATATCTGCATGCACCCACTCTATGTATCATTCTTTCATCTGCATTTGATATACATACTGGCTGATGCACTCAAAACTGCCTTTTCAGGTCACACCACTATAGGCCGGGCCATCTAGGCCTTCTCGATCAGCTGGGAGAGGGACCTTGACTCGCGGCCGGGGGAGACGCAAAGCACCTGTCAGACATGACGAGGAGTCCAGCGAGGAGGAGGAGTCGGCACATCCACAGTCAGAGACATCTGCAGGCAGGGATGATGACTCTGGTTCCAGTTCTAAAGACGGAGGTGACGCCGAGGAGGATTCCGAGGACAGCGGCTCTGATTCGGACGGAGATGCCGACGATGGTGGCACAGAGGCTGCTTAGCTGAAGAGGTCAAATAGGGCCTCTCAGTTTTGAGCTTGATAGCACTGATGCAGATATTCCTACTTTATTTTTCTTTTTACATGTGGTTGTAGCACATTGTATAGCTTAGGTAGTTTTATTTTCTTTAAAACTTGTACCCTTTTGTAAAATGTTGTAAAAAGAAATCATGATGAAATGAAAACAACTTTTTGTTCAAAAAATGTTTTATTTGTATTCTAAGCATCGCATCGCATCATTTTACACAAAAATGAGATTGAATGGAAACTGAACATTCATGTATTACCAAGTTAGGTAGGGAACCAACGTAACAAACAAAACAACTTAACTCAATAAGCAACAACAAGACCTAAGGAGGTGCATCTGGAATACAATCTTGGAATTTGCAGAAGTTGAAACAAACTCAAATGCTCCAAATTTTCCCTCTTTTCTTTTGCCTTGCAGTCTAGAACCCATGACTTCAAATAGGTCCTTGTTCTACTGTTCTCACATGACCTGGGTGGAACCCTGCAGTTTTATGAAAGAACAAATCCTGTTTTGCACAAATGTTGAGAAGGACACAGAACTCCGAGCACAAAACGATTTGAAATTGAGAAACGAGTTCTTAATCGGGTATTAAGCCTACGACTGACCACAGCAAAAACGACTCAATAAAGGAAAAACAAAGGTAAACAACCTACACACATTTATTGACACTCAAAACGACTCGAGACAAGAATCAAGACAAACAAAAACACACGCACAACACTCAGATATGTACCACCACTGGGAGACCTCTCAGTTCATGAGGAGCCTGTTTATTCGGGTATTGTTTCCCACCCTTTCTTATTTGTGATTCTCACATCACTCTGGCACTCAATCTCTTGTTTTCTAAAAAAGCCATTTTCTCACTTTTTCTCTCAACGCGCATCTCTCTATTCTTCAATCTCTCTTCTTTTTTATCCCTCCCTTGGGTGGTTGATGGATATACAAGAAGTTGCGGGCTCTTGCCCTTAACATTCCGCTAGATTCTTTTTCTTCTGCTCATAACAGTGAACTTTCCCACAGCGGGGTTGCGCTACAACTGGGTGTGTAGCAAATCTGCAGCTGACATCGATTGATGACGCCCTTGACCAGTTCGGATGTGACCAGACCTTTTCAGATAAGGGAGTGGAATATCTGGCTCCCTTTCCAGTTCGTGCTTCGCACTTGACTTGATACCTCGCTGCTCGGAGGATGGGAGAGTTTTCGGCCCTTTGCTGTTAGCTTTAGTTGTGCCCTTTTTGTGGCAGGTAGAGTGCCTTTTCTGGCAAGTATGTTGATAAAGGGGAAAAGAGAGAAAACCTGACTCAACTGTGCTCCTAGTTTATCATTTTGACCATTTTTTGTTTTTGAGCTTTCTACTAAAACAATTTCGACCAATATGAGAGTTAGATTAACATGCTTGTTCAATTTTCTGATTTGAAATCATGCAAGTCAGGCTATGAGCACTGAAAATTTTCTTTTTTTGGGTCCAAGAAAATGGTCCAGTTTTGGAAAAATGGAATAATTTTCAAGAAAATTAGTCAACTTTATTAAAAATCCTCAAAAACTATTTTTACAAATGGCCATGCTCGACCAACACATAATTTACTCTTGAGATGCACAACCTCAGATCCAAAACAATGGAAAATTGCCCCTTGTCTAAATGGCACTGCACAGCAACGGAAAGTTGCCCCTTGTTAGAATAGCACCGCAGCACACTGTACGGCAACGGAAAGTTGCCCCTTTGTTCGAATAACACCGCCGCACACTGTAACCAGTTCTCATAGTGAAGATCACAACTGAACTCTTGGATACATAAATGACAAAGATGACCCGTTCAATCTCATGGACAGGACAATTGAATTTGAAGTGTTTACGGTTGAACTTCAGAATGAAGTTGCCTACGTATCCCAAAGATGGGAATCAAGCCTGACGTAGTTCCGGGTTAAGGTACACTCGGGTATTTAACCTCTCCTTTTGCGCTATAACTTTTGCGAAGGCCGCCCGTTTGGGTTTTCAACCTTGCGAGCTCTGTTTTTCTTTTCTTTTCAATTCCTTTTATTTCTTTTTTTCTTTTTTCATCTTTTCTTTTCATTTTCTTCATTTTTCTTCATTTCTTTTTTCATTCTTTGGATTTTTTCTTTTTTGTTCTTTTTGTTCTTTTTCTTGCTCTAACTTTTGCCTGGGTCGCCCTTCCGGGTTTTCGGCCCAACGAGCCTTTCAAGGGTAAAAGTGTAGCTTTGTCCATGTTGATTGGTCGTAGGATCTCGAAGCCATCTGAATCTAGGAGAATGGCTGCTGTTTGTTGATGATGTAGAAGTCCATCCAATGGGGGCTGAATTTGCCCCCAGTGTTGTGGATATGAACTCAATTGTCCTTCAGCAATACTTTTTTCTTTCCTCCCTTCTGGGATTTGGCATTCTTGCCGATCTTCGTTAGCTTGAGAAATGTCCCAATTCTTGACTCTTTGAGCACATCTAACATTTTTTGTGCCCCTAGTTCGAGGGCTGCTTCTGATCTAGCTTTGCAAGCTTCCTTTGATAACATCTGATCTTCTTGCCCCTAGTTCAAGGGTGGCTTCTGATCGGGCCATACATGCTTCACATCGTGGTTAATCGTCGAACATTTTGAATCCAAGTTCAAGGTTTGAAAGCAAAGGGGTTCGAGACTCGAGGCTGAGAGCGATTCCACACAGGTCCTCGCAGAACCACGCAAAACTTTTTTTTTTTGAAATCTTTTAGGAAAGCGACTAATCGCTCGCGTCAAAGACAATGTAGAACCAATCTAGATCAAGCCAGGATCCTTCTCAGTATTCACATTAACACGTATGATCTCATTTATTAAGAGCTTAGCATGCCTCTCTTTCTCTCAGTTTGATCAAATTTTTACAAAACCCGAGGAATTCCTTCTTCCTTGTTTTCACCACAGTGTTAGAAAAAGTTTTGAAAAACTTACGTCAATGCAATGACTTCAAGACACAGAAAAGACACAATTTTGGTCAAATACTGCCATCTCATTCAGAACTTCTGGCGCAAGGCAGAAACAAACACAAAAGCGTGAAAATCACTGCTGTTTCATTCAAATCTTCTGGTGCAACTGGCCCCACAGTAGAAACAGACTCAAAAGAGTGAAAAGACAAACACAAAACAAGTAAGTGATGTCCGAGGTAACGCCCTCGAAATCACCTGACTCTTAACAAAACAGGACTGACTCGATACAACGAGACAGACTTAACTGACTCAGAACAACGAGACAGACTCAAAATAGCACAACAGAACTGACTCAATACCCAAGTCAGAAAGTAAAGTAAACAACATTCACAAAATGCTCAAAACAGTGCGTGCCATATGCCACATCCGGAGTACGCTGGGTGCCATCCACAAATGATTCACCCCCCCGATCACATCACATTACCCCACAAGCTCATCGATTCAGTACCAACAGACCTTGAAGGACCTGGTGCGACAATGACCTCGTTGTCAATCAGATCTTGTACCTCGTGGCGAAGACGAAAGCAACTAACAGTGCCATGACCAGTTTATTGATGGAAGGCACAATACTGGGCAGCATTATTCTTAGCTGGAAGGGGATTCGAGAGAGGCCGAGGCTCAAGGGGTTTGAGATGGCCTTGCCCAACAAGGATTTGGAAAGCTTTGGACAAAAACATATAGAGGGCATGGAAGACCCTTCGACCTCGGGGTTGGTACTTCGAGGTTTGTGGATATTTGTTGGATGCACTAGCAAAGGGGTCAGCAGGTGCTGACTTGGCTTGCTGATCTCTTCCAAGTGCAGGGTTAGAGCTGGAAGGAACGTTTCTGGTATGACGGCCCTTCTCCCGGTTTGTCCCTTGATTCAAACTGCTTTCATTCTGAGTGGCGAAAGTGTAACCCACAGTTCCTGCAACAACTGCGAGCACTTGCTGTTCGTTTAGTCCTTCGGCTTTCAAAGCCTCAACAGCCCATAAAAGGTGTTCATAAGGATCAATGCCTGCCCCTACCTTGTTCTTTCCACTCGCCTCCACTTTGTCAAGGGATTGGGTCGCTATGTCAGAGCGGAGCCCTGTTGTTGTCGACGTGTCATTGCCCAAACTTGGGATGACTTCAGGTTGGCCAATTTCAATTGCATCTTGTCCTAAGATTGGAGAGCCTTTTGGCATGAAACTTCTGGCCTATGATGTGGTCGATGATGGAGCCAAAATTCCAAAGGCTAAATCTGCCACAGTTCTTTGCAAATCTTCGATCATCCACCCCAGCTCAGAAGTAGTGGGTTCACGGGTTTGAGATGATTGGGGCTCAAATGCATTCATTGTGCTTAAGCCCATGCTTTTCGAGATAAACACCTCAGGCTTGAGTATATGGGTCAGGGTGTATATACTGGGGTTGTAGGTGGGTGGCGGTGTATGGTCGAGGTTGAGATGTGGATGAGGTATTTGGTCATTAGGGTCGTGGGGTGGAGATGTCGTCCAGTTGTCGATGAGATTATGGATCTCATGACGAAGGCGGTAGCAACCATCGACTCCATGACCACGCTGCTGATGATACACGCAGTATTTCGTGGAGTTATGCCTGGCAGGGAGTGGGTTAGGCAGAGGTTGAGGATAAAGGGGTTTAAGATACCCTCTCCCCATCAGGACTTTTAGTGCGTTGGTTAGGCTCATATAGAGGGGGGTGAAAGTTCTACCCTGAGCTCGGGCTGAACTGGCTGTTTGTAGGCTGGTCTTGGCAAAAGGGTCAACTATGGTGACTGTGTTAATTTTAGTGGGCTTGGGAACAGTGCTACTGGCATGGGTACTCTCAGAAAACACCCTCCTTACAAGTTCACTTGTTCTGGGAATAATCCCTCTGTTGAATGCATTCTCGATCTGAATCCCCAGTTCATGTAAACTCTTGAAAGTGGACAGTGGAATGACTATCAACTTTTGCAGCATATCAGGCTCAAGATTCTGCACCACCATCCACACTTGATCCCTTTCAGAAGGGCGATCTGTCATCTGTACTGCCTTTGCTCTCCACCTCGCAACAAATTCCACAAAAGGCTCTGTTGGGTTCTGGCGGGTTGCTTCAAGCTCTTGCAAGGTCATTTCGACCTACTCTTCAAGGTTCGCAATCTTCTCCGAGCTCGGAACAAGATCAGTAGAATCAAGGGAATAAAGCCTCTCAGTAGGCTACGCCAAGGGTCTGAAAACTCGGGCTTGAGCCAACCCTTCTCGGGGATCCGGACCATACAAATCTTCAGCTAACGGGAGTGGGTCCAAGTTCGACTGGGGTCCCGAGATTGGATGTGTGGTAGATGCCCCAGATGGGCGTTGCATTTCAGTATCGGTCTCCTCCTGCATGTCCACAAACATAGCTTGATTGTATTCTGCAGGAGTTAAACCATTATGAAATGCAACTCTCAAGGATTTCACAGTAACCTCCATAGGCAGGACTGCATTATGCCTATAAGTAAGCATAAATGGTGTAATTCCTGTTACTATTCTCTTTGAAATTCTATAGGCCCACAAAGCTTTTAACAGGACTTCATGCTAGACTTTGGGTTTGTCCTCAATCATTCTTTCAGTGATGCCTTTTAGAACTTTGCTTGTTGACTTTGCCTGGCCATTGCCTAGAGCATAATATGGAGTTGAGTGAGAAAGCTCAATACCATACTCTTTTGCTAAAGCTTGGACTTCCTCACCAAAGAAAACTATCCCCCTATCGGCCACAAAATGCTGAAGCAAGCCGAATCTGTAGATGATGTTCTCTTTGATCATCTTGATGATGTCACTTTAACTCACTGATTTCATAGGAATGACCTCGACCCACTTCGTGAAGTAATCCGTAGCCACAACTATAAAGGAATGACCTATAGAAGAAGGAGGAAAGATCTTGCCAATCATGTCAAAGTACCAACCTCTAAATGACCATGGTTTAACTATGGAATTGAAGTTGCTGGAGCATGTTGAATAGGACCATGGGCTTGACAATGTAGACAAGCTTGGGCAAATTTAAATATAATATGAAAGAATAGTAGTGTAGACCGCCTCAGGAGTTAAACCATTATGAAATGCAACTCTTAAGGATTTCACAGTAACCTCCATATGTAGGACTACATCATGCCCATAAGTAAGCATAAAATGGTGTAATTCTTGTTGCTGTTCTCTTTGAAGTTTTGTAGGCCAACAATGCTTCTGATATGACTTCATACCAAATCCTGGGTTTGTCCTCAATCATTCTTTCAGTGATGCCTTTTAGAACTTTGTTTGTTGACTTTGCCTGGCCATTGCCTAGAGCATAATATGGAGTTGAATGAGAAAGCTCAATACCATACTCTTTTGCTAAAGCTTGGACTTCCTCACCAAAGAAAACTATCCCCCTATCGGCCACAATATGCTGAAGCAAGCCGAATCTGTAGATGATGTTCTCTTTGATCATCTTGATGATGTCACTTTAACTCACTGATTTCATAGGAATGACCTCGACCCACTTCGTGAAGTAATCCGTAGCCATAACTATAAAGGAATGACCCATAGAAGAAGGAGGAAAGATCTTGCCAATCATGTCAAAGTACCAACCTTTAAATGACCATGGTTTAACTATGGAATTGAAGTTGCTAGAGCATGTTGAATAGGACCATGGGCTTGACAATGTAGACATGCTTGGGCAAATTTAATACAATATGAAAGAATAGTAGTGTAGACCCCCCCGAAGAACTCCCGCTCTCCGCGCGCGAGGGCGCAAATCGCTTTGTTCTTTAGCTACTACAGTTCGGACTCAATGTCACGGTTCTGAATCTAATCTCACAAAGTGCAATGCAAGATCGATAAATCACCAAAGAATTCAAATCCAACAAATCGTTTTGGAAAACTGATTTTTATAAAGAAGAGCCAAACATGGACTGCTTTGCCAGATACAGAGTCGCCACCTAAATGTTTTATTTTGGGGGAAATTTAGGAAACCTTGACTCGTGCCTAAGGCCACGTCTCCATCATCACCAAAGTTGCCTCGGCTCAGGAACTTGGGTACAAGAGGGGAAGGTCATGCAATGAGAACCCCCGCTCGCCCGATCAAAAGATCGGCCTTTACTAAGCATGATATTAATTTTTTGAAAACACGCGTTCTTATTCCGGTCATTAATCTAGAATTAATATGTGATGCGCACAGCATACAAGTATAGACTAGGTCGCCTAAGTTGGAGCAAAGCATTTCATGTTCGTTTGTTTGAAAATAGTTTGAAGGCTAAGACAAGGTTTTTGATGATTTGTTCCAATTCAAACAATCCAACCTTCATCCACTCGCATTCATGCAGTTAAACACTTAAGCAGTTAGCCTCATGGCAAGCATGCTAACATGGCAATATACATATCTCATGCAGTATGCTAAAGCGTAAACACTCACAGTGTACTCCGAACCAAAACAGAGAACTAGTTAGAAATCATGCATGATCCTAGTTCATGTTAAGATGGCTAATGCAACACATGCAAAATGCAACTAAGATAGACTCGGCTATTCTAAGATGTCATGTAAAATGCAACTTAGTACATGTATTCAAAATGGAATTGAAATACATGCAGTTAGTATGATGCGCCGAACCCGGTGCATGCAATACAGATGAATGGATGCACGCATGCAAAGCATAAGTATGCTAATTGAAATATGTCTTAAAACTAACCATCGTAAGTGGTTAAGTAAAAAGGAGAAAGCAATTGGGTTTGGAAGACATGCATCACACACACGCACGCTTATTACAACAGTTGGCCCTCTCAACGGAGGGTCCAAATAAGAAGCTAACTAGCTAATCTAAGCTAATTAAACTAATTATTACATCACAAAACTAGCTAACTAACAAGCAAACCAATTAAGCTATTACAACACAAATCGAATAGTTAAGTGCATTAACTAATTAAGTACAAACCAAAGCATAAACTAGCTAAGCAAATTACCTAAGTAAAACTGTAAAGCAATGTCCTTAGAGGGAGGAGAGTGCATGCATGCCTAGTCGCCTCATTCGGAAATCTATCGCGATGCCCCAATTTGCCTCTATTTGCAACTGTTCTCAGAACCATGCACCAAGCTCCAGAAAGCTTCTAACTCACCTTGGGGACCTGTAGGAGCATGGCCGACCACCTAGTGGTGTTGTCAGCCACTAGCCAACCACTTTCCATTGCTACAGACCAGAAAAAGTGGTCGGCCAGCTAATTTTTCTGGTTGGCCAACCAGTTGTTGCTGCACTTCTCCAATTTGCTACAATAGAGAGCAAGAAAGGGCATGACAATATATTTGCAAGATATGTGTGCACTACCACCCTCCCTATCATTTCATAAGCTCAAGGGAGTGTGGTTCTCGACCCTTGGGTCACCAATCGCGCATCTCGATGCATGATGGCCGAGAAGCCAAGATTGCATGAATCAATGTAAATGAATGCACAAATAAACACATAAAGCCTTGAACTCTATCATGTGTGATCAAGAGTGTCGGCGATCGAGAATTGATGCACGTTTCATCACTTCAAGTATGAAACAACCCTCATTGCTCGTGTTTGGACTAACACGTAATCCAAACAAATGCAATGCAACTCAAGCATGCAAACATACAATGCAACTTACGCATGCAAACATGCAATGCAAGGCATGCAAAAGACAATGCAACTACATGGCATACACAATGCAAAGAATAACATGACATACACGATGCAAACAACAACATGACATACTCAATGCAGTGTGACATGATCAACTTAACAAAGCTAATGACATGCAAACAATGCTAATGCATGCATACACAATGCAAGGCAACATAAGCATGCAACAACATGATACAATGTAACAACATTCATATAACATGCTCGATGGACTTAAACCGAAATGGACAGACCTCAGTCATGTCCAAATCAGTGGCCATAATGATGAAATGACGGCACGAAAGCATATGCAAGCATGCACATGCAATGGCCTATCAACTAGGCATAAGAGCACAACTCTCAAGAGTGCTCAAAGGGGGACAAATATGGAAGTGTAACAACACTATAAGCTCTGAAATAAGGTATGAAATGATGCCAAATCATTCAAACAACACAAGTATATCATGCAAAGGTCCTTAGGCATTAAAGCTAGTAAAGAGGACTACTCTAGAGACATGCAATACATGGCACAAAAGCTTGAACCAGCCACAATAAGAGCTCAAGTAGGTCAAAACAAAGACCAAAACATGCTAAGATGGAAGCTCAAGGACCTAGGCAAGATGGCATACATGCTAGGCCACAAACAAGGCAACAAATGCACAACCTTTGAACCACAATTAAAAAGTGATATGCATGAGAATATGACAATATTAAATGCTCTAAAATCAAGTACTAAATGATGCCAAATCATCCAAATAGCTCAAAGATAGCAAGCAAGAGGCATCAAAACACAAGGCTAGCAAGGCCAATTGCACTACAGCTATGCAATACATGAAGCATATTGTAGACACCCCATTTTTGACATCCCATAAGACTTGGGCATTACTGATGGTTTACTTGGTGATAAAAGGTGTGCAGGGTAAAGATCCAGTTTCTTCGGCAAGGGGAGAGACAAGTCTCAAATTCACACCCCGTTTTGGACCAAAGCTATTTTGGATGGTTTTTAGACCTTAAAACCCTCTCTTTCAAAACTTTTTTGAAATAAAGTTTCTGCGATGTTCTGAGGCTCGCATTTTGTCAAACGTTGCGCTTTTCGGTAAACTGAGCAGGGACAAAGTGGAAATGAATGAAAGAGAGATGAAATCTTTGAAAAATATTTCAAAACACCTTGCTTAGGGGTTTGAAGTTGAAGAAAGGAGGGGAAGGGAGAAGAAACCAAGTTGGAGGAGAAGATAGGCATGAATCCGGGTAGAAGGGAGTCGAACAATCCTCGCTAAATCAAGCTTATCTGTCTATACAAATGAAGTTAAGCTATGACGCCACCACCGTTGGAAAGAAGACTTTCGGGGCTTCATTTTTTGTTCAAGAATCTCTTAAATCCGAGTCCGGATGGCGGAGATATGATTGGTTGAAGTTGGGCATCATCCCGGTTGGACCGAAACTGAGCATCCTTCACCAAAACAAGCATAACTTTTTTTACAGTTGGCATTTTGATGCAAATCTGGTTCCATTGGAAAGATTACTTCCAGGTCTTCAATTTTGACACAAGATTGACCTGAAAAGGAGTTCATATGATGAAGTTATGCCCGTTTGAAGTTGGACCTGCAGAGTAGATTTTTCCTACCGGCCAACCAAACATTCTGCCGACCGACCAAATAGATGGCCGACCGGCCATAACAGATGGCCGACCGGCCAAATAGATTACCGATCGGCTAGTGAAAGTAGCCGACCGACCAATTTTGCTAGCCGACGACCTTCCGGAGTATTCTACAGATTGAATGGATGCCAGCTGTGCCAGCTATTCTCCACTCAACCCACTGTCCGAGGGGCTGCCTTTTGGAGGGAATTTTGAATTTGATTTTTCCCCCTTTTTGCTTTGGCCTCTCCCTCTATATAACCAGCCCCTTACCTCCTCTCTAAGAGTTACAAAAAACTAGCTGGAGCTACATACATACACCCTCTATATCTCTCTCATTCAACCTTCCAAACCCTATGGTTCTTGCACCCTTTGCACTACAACTCATAGCACCACACCTCCATAATCCATTCCAGAAACTTGGAGGTTATTTGCAGAGGTTAGGAGCGCCATTTGTTCAACCAAAAGCTACTGGTTCATTGGTCTTCAAGGGTGAGTCCCTATTTCCTCATTTCTTGCCTTATTTTGCTTTGTATCTAAGCCATACTTGCTAGCATTTTTGGGCTCCGACCCAAACTGTAAATAGTTATATTGTGAGCCCCTTTTCATGTTTGATTAAGGGTCTTTCTCTGTTTGAGGCCATTTGCTACCACTTGCCTCTTTACCCCTCTTTTAGGCCTTTTCTTGCATGATAGTTTGGCCTTATTTGTGATAATTTTCGTGGCTTGATGTAAACTGTAAAGGGTATTATTTTGAGCCCCTCTTCAACTTTGTTGAAGGGCTCATCACCATTTGGGGCCATCTGCTGTCCCTTTGTGTTTAATCTCTCTTTTAGGGCCATTTTTGCATGATAGATTAGCCCTATTTGCATTCATTTTTGGGACTTGTTATAAACTGGAAATATTCATTTTTTGGGACTGTCTTGCATCTTTCTTCATGCTTCATGATCAAATAATGCATGCTTTGTATAGCTATAGGCCAATGCGTATGCCTAGTTTTGTGTTTCGGGGCCATTCCATGCATCGGGTGCCATGTTTCCATGATTCGGGGCTGTTTTGTATCACATCTCAGTGCTGGAATTACATGCTTGTATGCCATATTTCATGCCTTGCCATGCCTTGTTAGAGTTGCATACTATGCCTTAGGTTTGGTCCTCGGTTTGCGTGCATGCGTGCACGC